CAGCCTCCATGTGCTCACTGTGCTCCACATTACAAAGACTTGTGTTCTCAATTTGCATGCGTTTGTCACCGTGCTTTGTGCCGTTGCTTAAAAACTGCTGTAGCGGTTACAGCATTTCCACTGAAATATTGTTTTGTTGTTGTTTTTTTTTTTTTAACTCTCACAATTTGACAGATGATAGCAGGGAGGCAGACAGGAAAATGACTGGAGAAAAAACAGGCTTGGCACCGAACGTATGTGCATGCAGCTGCCGGAGCGGAAGCGGGGCTGTTGCTTCGAGTTGCAAGACGCGAAACGAGACATGAAAAATGAATTTTTGTCAAGCCTTTCCAGTAAAAACAATTTAAGCGTCGTTTGAATGACGTCAGAGGGGTTTGAAAGAAGTCAAACACAGACTTCAACTTTAAACTCAGACATCAGACTTGTTTTACTGTCTTTGAAGGGAAGCATTTTGACTCCTGTTGACATGACGTTCTCTTTTCTCCATGTAAAACTAAGTATGTGGTGAGACAAGATTCTCATGGTGCAATAACGTAAAAATGCATATATAAACCGTTGTTTTATGGTATTAACCAAAAAAAGAGAGAAAAAGACAAAAAAAACAACAACACCCATTTGTGCATCTATTGTCAGTACCCAGGTTTCCTTTTAGGGTCACAGGGGTCAGGGAGGTCTGCATATTTCCAATGGTAAAAGAAGTGGCGTACACAAGAGATGCACCAATCTGATACTAATATCTATATTGGTCTCAATTTTGAAAAAAAAAAAATCCTAGATTGGTATGTGTGACGATGTGGACGATTCGATACTGGTGCAGAGTTATCAAATAAATTTGAAACTCAGTACATGTATGTCTGTTTAAAAAAAAGGAAACTTTTTAGTTGAATTCCTCACTATTTTTCTGTATCGGATCGGTATCGACCGATACTTGACCTCATATCTGTATTGTGGCATCGCCAGTGCACGCCATGAAAACCTACTACTGCTTAACGAGTATAACTCTGATTGTTACAGGTTTAATTATAATAGTTATATAAAACAAAAATGCAAAATAAACATTATAAATTTGGTGTTATTTTGAGTTTATACTGAGATTAGCTTGTCATTAAATCAGATTCTCTATCTGTACTTTTAAAAGAGGCACCACAGTGACAGGAGTCATTTGTACATCTTAGGTTTTTCACACATTGAACTTCTCTGCTCCAAAAGGACCTAAGAAATTACCCTTAAAGATTACTTTTACACCACTTTAGAAGGATAAAATGCTTTTTTGTGTTTTGAAACCATAACCTTATTATACCTTGACTATAGCACCTCGCCCAAGGATGCTTGCAGGCTTTTTGTTTCATCTATATGAAGTTATTGTTTGGCTGTAAACATGGATATTCCCATCACAGTTCCTTAATACACACACACACACACATTTAAAGTGCCTGGTTTAGTCCTGACAGTCTAAAGTAACTTTTTAAAACCTCAATATACCTTCACACCAATGACCGACCAATTCTTTCCAAGGCGGAAAATGTCTAAAACATTTGGAAAATCCAAAGTTTTAGTGGTTAGGATGAAACAGAGTCATACTTTGTAACTTTACACTCCAATTTTCATGACATTACGAGCTTCCAAAAGTTGCCACGCTTCATCTTTTAAAGAAATAAGGCTTGTTTAGAATATTCCGGAACAAAAAAACAAAAAAATATATACATAGAAACCCAATTTGATTGCCAGACACAGCTCCTTAGACATAGTAATAAACCTCTTAGATCAAAATACGGATAAAAAGCACTCTCCTGCCTGACCCTTGACCTCGACTCGACGCCCCCCTCTATCTCTGCCGCCGGTGCTGAAAACTGAACCGCCTGCAGTTCACGCTCCATCATTCCACTGTGTATGTTACACAATAAGGGAAAGTGGGGTGGGGGGTGGGTTGGATCGGATGTGGAAAGACCCCCATCATCCTGCGTGACCCGACCCTCATCTTTCCCATCCTCACCTCTCCTCTCCTCTTAAAACCCAAACCGGACTCCTCTGCTGCCGCCTCGCTGCGACTGAGGGCGTAAACGGTAATTGCGACATAAATTACGTTACACACACTGTGTTTTTTAGGTCCCCCCATCGGCACTCTCGATGACATGCTGATATACTGTACTGGGACTACATGCTGATAAGTGTGGCTATGAGAAGAATAAATAAGAAAGCAATGTTGGTGCATAAATGTCTGCGTTGCTTTATTTTTTGTGGCTAAAGGAGGAGGACTGCCTCGTGTGTACGCCACGGTCAAACCATACGCAGATGATTGACAGCTATTAATCCACAGAGTGCCTTCGTGGGGAAACCAAACCGGACTGCGGCGCATCCGCTCAGGTGTTAACCGCGCCGGCTTTCATTTCTGTTAGCGGCATCCCTTTGGAGACGCTAAAAGGCTGGGGTTGATTAAAAGGCCGGTCAAAACACAGTCAGGAATGAACGCTAAAGCGATACGGAGAGAGGTCCGAGGAAAGGAAAAGAGGGCCACTGGAAATTTGAAAAGGTAAAGCTGGGGGAACGCAGTGATGTCTAGGAATTCAAAGCATTAACCAAATGGTGTCAGACTGCCAAAAAAAAAAAAAAAAAGAGAGATAAATCCATAATCTTCACTCTGGGGTTATTTGTTTTGCCCATCAAAAAATGAGCAACTTAAAAAAAAAAGTGAAATTAATAGAAGCTGCAGCCTTTTGAATGCACACAAAGGTTTTAACGAGTCCATCTACAAATAATCTGCAGCCTTTTCAAGAGATTAAGCCCTAAATGCCATGCAGTAATCCCTCTGGCTTTTTTTTCTCTCCTTCTTTTAGCTTTAAAATAATTGTGTGAAAATCTGAAGATGACAATCGTTTGGCATTTCCGAGGAAAAGATTTGACACCAGGAGAAAGAAAATGAAAATTTGGTCAGGCTTATGGATAATCTGTGCTGAGGTCTGAAGTGAGGAAAGAAAATTTAAAAAAGCAATAATAACAATAAGACGCTTTAGGAAACGCATGAAAACAGGGGGAAAATATCCAAAGTGTGGTATCCAGCTCCGGCCACGGCCACAGTTCATTTCCAAACGGCCCCCTGAGCCGGGGCCCCTTAATGTCCCGTGTTATCAGAGTGAATCAGCAGCGCTGATAAATTAGCCCCCACCCTACAAACACACACACAACCCCCGTCCCCCGCATCCCCCAAAAGGCCCCGTCGGCTAATGTGCGCGCCGGCGTTTGTGCGGCGCTCATATGCAATGCTTAATGTTGTGGAACCAATTCTGTCGTTTCCATTATGTAAATACATTTGCCTCGGCACTATATTTTATGTATTGTCTCCCTTGTCTCAATTACTTGGGCTATTAAAAATCAAGAGGTTATTAAGTTTGTGGTCGACTGTTTTTGCACTTTGATGACAGGCGGGTGTTGGAGGGGGGTAGAGTGTTTTCGGGAGCTCGTTGTGGACACGTCAGCTTCCGTCCACGTTCGCATCAGCGTCTCGTTGTGGTGGTGTCGCTAAACGTGCTGCAGCCGGTATTAATAGGGGTGCTTAAGGCGGAGAAACAGGCAAAAAGACACAATCATTTATCGCGATGCAACAGCATGAATTTGCTTTTGACATCTTGATGGTAATTGCTGAAATGCTTTAGGAAATAACCTTCAATGTGCTGCAGGATCGAAGCTTCTTCTTTCCAAAATGTTATTCTGTTGCGTTTCTTCTGCCTCTTTTTTTTCCTTCTTCTTCTTCTTTCTTTTTTTTTTTTTAAAGTACAACACAAAACGAGTGAAATCACCCAGCAATCACAGAACGACGGCCGGCAAAGTGCGGTCAGCTCTGCACAGCGCAGAACTATCTGGTGCCTCTCGGTGGAAGGCGGAAAGGTGCAAATGCTTCATGAGACGAGGTCGTTTTTATTATTTTTGATAGCATGCGTTCGTCTGATGCAACGTCGTTGGTAAAGATGGTATAAAACCGCACGGTGGAGTGGGGGGGACTGTTTACCATGAAACCAGGAAGCCCCCCCACCACCACCATCAGAATCCATTACAGAGCTGGCTGCGGAAAAAAACAACAAAAAAAAGTCAGTGAAATCAGCACGCTTTTCTGTTCCCATTACGAATCCAGCGGATTGCTTTGCACACCATACTAATGGGCTCGTTTGAATGAAATGAAACTGGTTTGCAGAATTTAAACTGAGTTTCAAAAATACATATATAAAAAATTAAAAAGGGGCACGGGGAGGAATTGCATTTTTTAACCTCTTTTTTTTTTGTCCATTTCCTTTTCCACATGCGGGGCCTTCACTGCTTGGTCCAACATATGACTTTTTTCCAGACTGCTGGACTTTTAAAGCCATGAGGAGGTTTACATTTTATGGAAGAGAGAGAGAGAGAGAGAGAGGGGGAGGGGAGGGAGGGGGGGGGAGGGGGGGGAAAGGGCACCCATTAGAAAAATTATCAGGATTATCCCTACAATCTTTTTGAGAGATCTAAATATAGTTTGCACAAATGTTGATTTTTTCCCCCTCTTTAACAGAGAGCATTAGGTATGAAATAAGAGTTTAAAATGAGATTTCCCTCAAAAAAATCGATTTAACAATTCAAAAAATACAAACGAGCAAGTTAAATGCATCCATGTAAATTAGTAATTTCTATATTTATATATATATATTTTTTGATAAAATCTCTTGTAATATTCAGTGCTTGTTTGAATAGTAATAATAAATTCAGTCCAAAGTAAACTTCAGAGCAGAAAGACTGTACGCGTCGCTGACACCCAGAAGACCTCCACAAAGGCGGCCGGTTATTTGTCGGCTGATCAGAGGAACCCGCGTTTCACCGCGCGGACAGTTACGAGGCGCGGCGCGCGAGCGAGCGAGCGAACGATGCGCCCCGCCGCCGCGCGCCTATTCAGTCTGAATGTGGAGGAAGAAAGACAGAAAGAAAAAAAGAGAGTGAGGGGAGGAGGGGGGGGGGGGGAACTGAAAAGTTGCCGTTACCTTTCCTCTTGGATCGCCTCCTCCTCCTCCGCTTCAGCTTGCACCGGACCTGGCCGCTCGGAGCGCCCGGCGCGCGGCTGCCGTTTCCAAGTACGGATGCCATCAGCTCAGGAGCGCAGCGCAGCGCAGCGCGCCAGCAACTTGGAGTCCGACTCTCCTTCCCACTTGTCTCGTCAGCCTCCTCCTCCTCCTTTCCTTTTCTTCTTCTGCTCTCTCCCTCTCTCTGTATGCACACGGATCTCTCTCCTCTTTGGTTTATTATCACCGCGGAGGGAGTCGCTGTAGAAAGTCCAGCTCCAGCGTCGAAGCCCGTCGGATGTGAACCTCCGTGCTGTCGGCGCAGCCTGGCAGCTTCTCTGTCTGCTCCTCTCCTCTCCTCTTTCCTCCTCTGCTCTCCTCTCCTCTCCGCCCCTACAGATTTTTTTTGGGGGGGGGCATCAGCCACTTTGAGCTCAATCATGCAGGACGCTTATCTATTTGCTGCCGAGATTTCTAATTAGGGTCCAATCGCGGCTGTTCGAGTGGGTGTGACATCAGCAGCGACACCCACCAGCACCACACACCCCTTGTTCACCCACCGTGGGTTTTTGACTCACATTTTTTTTTTCTTTTTCTTTTTGAAAATCTTTTCTCGTGTTCCGAGTTTTGGTGATGTCCGTCATCTGGGCTCCAGAACTTCAACCCACCCGCCCACCCTGTGTGGCCGCCCTGCAGAGGAAACTTCACTGCGGGGCTAAAAGATGCGATTCTGAATGCAGATGAGAGGAAGAACACTTAAACTCCCCGCAGGCCCTTCTTTCCCTCTTTCTTTCCCTCTTTCTTTCTCTTTTCTTCCCAAACGTCATGCTTTTTTTTTAAAATGAGATTTTTGGACTTTTCTTCAGGATGTGCAAAATGAACACCCTCTCTTTTCAAAAGAGCCGTATCAAAACTAGCGATCTGAAAAGTGTGGCGCGCTGATTTATTTAGCCCCTTCAAGCTGTGCCTTTTCTTACAATGACTGTGTCTTCTAAACAGTCCGATGCCGCTTCCCCCCCCTCAGCATGATACTGCCACCACTGACCTGAGGAAAACGTCTGTCGTGGGTTTTGTATGGTCTCGTTTTTGTGTAATTGAGCGTGGCTCACCACCAGGTCAAAATAAAGAATGTTAATGTGGTTTCTTTATTATTTTTTTTAAATATATATTAAAATAATGTAAGGTATATTACAAATACAGCCTATGTTTGCACACTTACACAAACCGTTATTAGACTTTGAAATCAATGCAAATGTCATGAAACGTTAAAGTTTAGTTTACTTTGAAAGACTACTACCACAAGGTACCTCAAGCCCGTGAAAACGACCCTAATGTTAGCATACATTGTGTCCTTGAGTAATGAGTGCTTTGTGTACTCCTCAAGAAACAAAAACACAATTCATTTCCTTTTCCTACATTTATGCACACGCCACATTCTTGGTGTCGACGAGAAAATAAACAACAAAACAAAAAAACAACAAAAGAAACATGAAAAACTTCAAGGGCAATGAAGACAGTGCAAGCTGAAATGAGTTCCCTCTTGAGAAACCACTTCTAGCGTCGACACCCTCTTGGAATTTCGTTTGCAGGTAACCTTCAGCGGCCGCACAAAGGTAAAAAGAAAAAAAAAAACTGTGTTGTGGACACAAAGTTTGAAGATTGTGACATTTTGGCATTTTTGTGCGAACGCGCCGCGTCGAAGCTTTCACAAAGCATTTGTGTTTTCCGTTGCTGCGGGTTGTTGTGCTGCTTGCCTGGCCTCTGCGGCTGAAGGTCAGCTTTGGTGTTTGAGGTGTGGAGGCGCTACATGCACATGCAGGTACACAAATACGCACAGATCTTCAGGCTGATTGTGCGTATTTTTACAACCTGACGAAAACTGACTTGCTGTTTCCTTCAGTCCATTTCTGCGTTTGTTTCTGTTGAGCCAAATAAGGCTCACCAACCAGGGCGGCATGACTTAGAGGGCGGCAAAAGCGCTCAATAAAAAAAAAAAGCTGACCCTCAACTAGACTTTTTTTTTTCTTTCTTTGTGTGTGTGTCCTATTCTGGCCCCTTAAACAAACCATCTAACGCATCAAGCTGCCTTACTCACTGAGCTACATGAGCTAACTTTTAGCTTGGTAGATAAGCTACTTGTCACACAAGACAATTAGGTAACTATTAACTTAGATAAAAGCTAATACCTTAGTTTTCTAAACTAATGAGATTACTCATTAGCTTAGTTACCTAATATGTAGTTTCCCTACCAAAGATATGCATTAGCTTAGTTACCTATTAGCTTATGTAACTAAGCTAATAGCTGGTTTAATATAAGCTAGGTAACTATTACCGAAGATAAAAGTTATCAAATTATCTTAGGTAACCAAGTAAAGTTACCTAAGCTTAGTTACCTCGGAAACTATGCTAAGTTGCTTAGTTGCCTAAGCTAGGTAGCTTAGCTTAGTTACCTTGCAAGTTTTATTAGTTAATTTCCAATCTAAGTTACCTAGGTAATTCAGCTAGAGAGTAATAAAGCTAAGGTAACTTACCTAGCCAGGTAGTTACCTCAGCTAAGCTAAGTTCATTCTAATAGAGTGAAGTTTACTGCATTTCTAATAGAAACAGATTTTATAGCATTTATAGATAACAAAATGCATTTCTTTTCATTTTATCATCTCTAATACAAAATATGAAACAATTAGGAACGTTCATACAATGGTTTTCAATTTATGCTGGGAGTAAAACACGTTTTAAGTTGCGTATTAAGCATTTGTTTGCAGAACGGGCTTCACTGGGAGAGGGCTCACCCAGGGAGCCACTCATGCACCGCGACCCGTCTCTTTATCCTAACGCCATTCCAGCTCTTTCAATTTGCATGATGAAAAGCGAGGGGGAGGGAAAAAAAACGTATTTGCTCTAAAAGCATGACATGTTTGCTGAAGCCAGACTGAAAAAGTCACTTTGAGGCCCTGGCAGCTCAGCGGGGAGAAAAACTTCCTCTCAGACGGAGGAAACAAAAGGCAGAGAGGGCGGTGAGAAAGGGGCGGCTGGGCTGCCTGCCAAGCTGCAGTCTGCCCTCAGGACACCCACAAATATCCATGTAAATTGCAGTTTAGGACAAATCAATAAAAGTGACAAGTTGCCAATTCCACTATCAGGGCTGTAATGAAGGTGAGCTGGTTGTGCGAGGGGGGTGGGGAGGGGCTCGGGTTGCGTTCATAGATAACGCTGAATGGGTGAAGTGGTTTGGAAGTACAGGTTGCAGAGGGAACACAAACACACCGACGTCGGAAGGTCACTGTCGACAGATTGTTGTTGCCTCCCAGCAGAAGCAGAGAATCTGACCCAGTTTATCCCTGTTGTCATCTGCTACATGTACTGTATGTGTGTCTGCACATGTTGACACCTTAAAGCAGTCCGGCGTTCAACACCAGCTGCGTTTCCATTGATATTATAATTACGCAAATCTGACATTTTGAATCTCAATTTGCTGACATCGATAAGTTTTGGCGCTAAGGATGAGGCGGGCGGATGCAGGCACGGCATTTGTCTTCACCACTGGCTGAACCCATTCTGCACACAAAAAGATTGGCAATACTACTACATAAAGTTTGCAATTTTTCTACATTTTTCTTGCGATATAGCTCTTACATTTCATTCATAAAGGTCTCAACAGGAACACCTCGCTTACGTACTTTAGATCAACTTCAGATCATTTTTCTTCTTTTGCTCTTTCCTTTGGTTTGTCATTTTGTTTGTATTTCCTTTTAATCCCCGTAAAGCGCTTTGTATTGCCTTGCTGCTGAAAATGCGCCGTACATAAAGAGAATTGAAAAAGATAAAAACGCAGAATAAACAGCAAATGCCGACGTTGTTACGAAACAAAAGTTATTTAAAAGGAAAACTGTTGAAAGCTGTCCAAAATAAATTGAGTGGGCGGTGTGGGTGTTGGTATGAGTTGCAGAAGAAGGGGGGTTGCCACTCATCCAGGAGCCCTTGTTGGAGCCGAGCATGTGTTGATAAAATGTCTGCAGGCCAAAAGTCAGCTAAGGGCATCAAACCTGCGTGTAAAAACTCTTCTGAAAACAACGCTTTTTTTTGTCTCATGTTTTCTTATTTAGTCAAACACTTGGCATTAGTTTGATGTCATATCTGTGGATTAAAGAGTTAGATTGAAATTGTGATTACAGCAAACACGTGGCAACAACTTCTCTTTTCCTTCCCCCCTCCGTCATCAAATCAGACACCTGCAATCTAAGATAAGGAGTTCAATCAGAACACCTCTCAAACGCGTTCATTTCCTGCACTCCTGATTAAGATTTTCTTAAATCTATGTTTATGGAAGGCGCTCTGAAATGGAGAAATAAAAAAGTTAGCTTCTCTCGCTCTCTCTTTTTCTTTCTTTCTTTCTTTTTTTTTTTTTTTTTCAGTGGCATTCAAAATTACCAGAATAAATATTTTAACACCTTGTCGTAGCTCAGGTAGCACCGTCTCCATGGTAATGCACGTGTTGCTCTCATCAGAACAAAGTAATTAACAGCTTTTAAAAATAAAATAAAATAAATAAAGTCACTGTTGAGAAACAGCATGTGTTAACATTCAATGCGGAGCATTTGGCCCCTGAGAGAGATACAGTTAGCACTACAACTCTCTAAGTTTGAGCTCATATTCAGCATGCAGCTGCAACCATAAAATATAATGTTTTTCATCTGGGGCAGAAATGAAAGAACACCACAATTAATGTACGGATTTTTAAAGAGAAATCAGTAAACAAGAGTCCACCTGAGGGCACGGCTGTTTATCTAAATCTATATGACAGCGCTAATCAGAGGAGCAGTGAGGACAGAGTCTGAAGTCTGTGACTCTTCAATAGTTTCGCGATAACTTTGCTTGAAAATAATATATAATGAAACACTTTTTTTTTTTTTAATGCTTCACGCATACATTTTCAGATATATTCAAAACAGTTAACACCTCCAAGATACAATAGATGATAAATAATATATGCAGTAATGGCACAAAAGCAAAAATGAAACAATAACATACAAATAAGAATAAATCATGTAAGTTGCATCCGGTGGCACAATTTCTGTTTTTGCTGCATGTTATTACCGTTAAGTTGTATGAATCGGATGACCAAAGAAAAAAGAAGCGAGGCGAAGAAATTAGAATGGAGGGAACTAGCCAATTATGACACAGAAAATTAGTCTGAAAACTGTCAAATCTCAGAATAAAGTTGTCACTCCTTGATGGAAATACCGTGCAGAGGGAACGCGGGTCTGCTGCTTATCGACCCTCCCAGCCAGGTAAATGTGGTGATTGGAGGCTTCAGAGGCCGCCCTCATCAGTCTCTGGGTGAGTACTGACTTTAAGTATTGCCCCCCCCTACCCTTCTTTTTTTAAGTGGTTGGGTGG